ACTAGACAAACAACACAATCGAAGATGATGATGGTGACGATGGTGGAGGTGATGTTGATGATTCTGTCGCTGATGGTCTTGATAATGATGATTATGATGAATATGATGATGATGGTGATGATGGTGGTGGTGATGATGGTGGTGATGATGATGATGATTATGACAGAATGAAAAAAAATGATGATTTGAAGAGGTTAAACATTCTTCCGGACGAAAAAGTTACAAATACAAACTAATACACTCATAAAAAACAAACATGCAAACATGCACACATTCATACAAACACACACACATACACACTATCATACAAACACACACACATACACACACACACACAACAAACACACACACACACTTCCCTTTGCTAATTTGGAAAGACAGACATTTTTATATCTGCACACCTATGTCTGTCTAACCGTTCTAAAAACACACACTCACGCACACAACACACATACACACACAACACACATACACACATACACACACACATATACACACAGACACACATATATAAAATTTGAAGTGTAAGCAGAGAGCGGTGTTTGGAACGGTCTGTATGTAGTGTGTGTGTGTGTGTGTGTGTGTGTGTGTGTGTGTGTGTGTGTTGTGGGGATGATTCAATTAATTCAATTCATTCTCAAGAGATGTTAGCGTGTGTCTATGTTTGTATGTTTGTTTGGTTGCTTGTATGTTTGTTTGTATGTTTTTATGCTTGCACGTATGTATGCTTGTTTGTATGCGTATTGTTTTGCTTGCATGTTTGTACAGTTGTTTATTTACATTACGAAAATGTTTGAATGAAAAGCGAGCGATTGAGTGAACGAATGAATGAACGAATTAACTAATTGCAAATAAAATATCGATCCAAAGGTTGCCTGGTTAGACTACAAGTCGATACCGTTAACTTATGAGGAAAAGAGGTTGTAGTGGTGTGCACACATTTTAACACACACACACACACACACACACACACACACACACACACACACATCCATACATACATACATATTTATAATTGTCATCATCATCGTCATTATTATCCTTATTAATACTATCATTATTATTTTCATTATTATTTTCATTATTATTATTATTATTATTATTATTATTATTATTTACCATCATCGTCGTCGTC